CTGGTGCAGGATTGGCGTTAGCCGCGCCTGGCGCACCTGCTGGCCGTCCGAGACACCAGAGCATAGCTTAGAGTCACCGCTTCCGTCTCGCGAAGGGTAGGGGCGAGGAGGTGAAGGCTCGCGCGCAGGGGAAGGGGGAAAGAGGGGCGCAGGGGTGGAGGACGCGGGGGAGGAAGGTGCGCCGCCATATTGAAAGTCCAGCACGTCTGCCTCCAGCTGATCCATCGAGACATCCGCTTCTATAGGGCACTCGTCTGCCCAGCTATTGCCGTCCGCGCCTTCATTGGCCAGCATGTCCGACTGCATCTTGTCCCAGTGACGTTCGCAGACATCCGGATATAGATCACAACGTGAATTCATATCGGAGAAACACGGATCCCTAACTAGAGCAAAGCGCTTAGGCGAAGAGTTTCTACCTGATTTCTCTAAACTCTTGTCGTGACGGTTCGTTGACGAACCTGGTGACTGCGCCGGCTGAGCTAGCGAATTAATACCACACTTCGCCGAACTCTTGCCAGAGCGCCCAGATGGGAGGCCTGGAAGACCTGGTATCGAAGCACTGCTTCTACCTTTGTTAGTTAATCTATAGTCCTTATCGGACTGCCTCAAGGCTTTGTTGTTTGTCTTAGAGGGTAACCCCATAGAACAGAGAAAAATTCGTCTGGAGTTGAATAAATCGAGTATGAGATTCAGCGATGTATTACAATTCCTCACGCTGCGAAGCCGTCCCTAAGATTCCGCTGAAAACTGACACGAGAGTATCCGAAACGACCGGGGCGAGTGATTGACCTGGATAGGCATCCCGCAATTTACTTATACGTTGTTATGGCTTGTGACAGCTGGATCTATGCAAAGTTGCTCCCATGATAGGCCTACTTCCTTGTTCACTTAACTATAGCATCACGCAATAATAGCGAAGCAGTGTAGCCGGTAGTCTCAGCCTTTCCTCCTATGATCCGCTTTGCTCTCTTTTCCATCGTCCTTTGGCAGGCAGCTGCCGATGACCACAAGCCGTCTGAAGAGAGCATCTTGCCGACGAAGCCTCCACAGCCACCGACTGACAACGGCGATCATGAGGATTTCTTTCAAATGCTTCATTACCTATTCCACCACGGTATGGGTGGTGTCCATAGCGAGGCCGCGGACTTCATGCCGAGTGCCGTTGGCGATATTACTGATATTATGCCGGGTGACTTCTTTGATACCCGGAAGACTACCAAGTTTGGGGTTTACTCGGGTGACTTCAAATTGGACGAATATGACAGCGTCGCCACCGACGTGACGGTTTACGCCAAGACGAAAGAGTACAACGTCAACGATGAGGACTTCCGTTATCTCACCGTTGATGTCCACGGAGGCACCTTTGGGCATTGGTTTGGTTACTACCCGACCGTGAAGATGTACAATGGTGTCGGCAATGCGTACATCAGCGCCTATTACTTCCGTCCTCTTCCTGTCGAACCTGACATGATGACTGGAAATCATTCAGTAGTGAGGAAGCAACCACCACA